GGGTATTGTATTGATGAATTTTTAGACTCGTTAAAGAAAAATCAATGTGATATTAGATTTTCTAATAATGAATCTCTATTTGAAATTTATATGGATTTTTTGTCAATGTATGAATTTTATAAAAACGTAATTAGTTCCTATGAAGAATTTAGATTTCTTATTATTCCAATAATTAAAGTTAAAGAGAGAATGTTAAGCTTTCTTATTTTTAAAAATAAACAAGTGATTAATTTATCTGAATTTGATGGAATATACTCTCCTGAGATAAAAGAATCTTTATGTGAGGAAGTTTTAGATTATATTTTAAGAAAGAACATTAGAAATGAACCGAGTATTGAAGAATATGAAAAATTTAAAAATTATTGCAAAGAATTTTCTAGAAAAGTTGTAGAAATAATTATTTTGATTGAAAAATATAATGTTTTTTATAACAACAGTTTGACTAGTTTTACAATTGACTCTTGTATTTTTAAATATCTTGATAATAATAATAATTCGTTAAAAAAAGAAATTCAACAACTAAATATAAAATTATCAAATTATCTTTTAAAAGAAAGTGAAAGATATAATAGATATTTATGTTTTTACATGAATGGCCTTTTTCCTTTATATAAAGAACGTTATGTTCCTTTCTCTTTTGATAAAGAAAGAGACAGTGTTTCAGAAAATTAGAAGAAGATGAAAATGGCCAAGATATTAACTATGACTATATAATGGAAGTTTTACATGAAATTATGAATGGATATGCTAAAATTTTACTTATTTTATTCAACCCGTCATTAGCAGGATATTTAATTGGTTAATTTTAATAAATATCCTCAAAAATTATTGTTAATTTTTAAAATGTTTTTATCTTTTTTTATTGTTAAATAAAACCTCAATATATTATGTAATGGATTACATCACGTGTTTAAAACAAAAAATTTCAAAGGAGTTTTAATTGCAAATAAAATACAATGGTAAAGACAGATTTTTTATTTAATAAAGCAACATATAAAGGTAGAAAGGATATGTTTTAATAAAAGAATTAAAGTATAAAATTTATAATTGAAAACGAATTTATAATAAATAATATAATTTATAGTGAATTTAATATAACTTTTTAAATATTAATGTCTGTTTTAAAAATTTTAAATGAAAAGTTTTAATATCATAGCGTATCAATATGATCTATTTAAAAGATTTTATATCAAAAAATTAATAAATTATGGAGTTTAAACTCATTATTTTCTTTTATACAGACGACATAAAATTATAGTGGTTTATTCTAAAATATACTGTCATTTCCTAAAAAATAAAATTCTCTTACTTAAAAACTTAAATTTTATTAACGAGTAAAAATAAACACTTTATGAAACTATGTTTGTATTAACTTTTTAGTATAAAAAGTTTTTAAATTATAGAAAAATTTAAAAAACCTTTTATAAATCATTTCCTTTTTTTCTCTTATTTATTTAAAGGTAAAAATATTTTTTTAATAAATATACTGATGATGTTAAAAAAGTAAAATAATACTTTAAAAAATTGATATGTTTAAAATATAAAAA